GTTCTGTTTTAGACTCAGTAAATAGTAAGATCTTCCATCCAGTTACCCTGACTTTAAGAGTCCTGCATTATTCTTGATTCTTCTCTCAACTTCTTGTATAGTGCCCCCACATGCACTCCCAAATTCTATCAGTTTACCTGCCTCTCAGTGTATTCTGAATACTGTTACTTAACATTCTGCTTTTCTGTTATTCACCTCCCAGTTCATCTTCTAAGGTTCACTTAGTTATTGCTCTTTGAAATCCTTGGTAACTCCTCCCTCTCTGTAAATGAACATCCATATTCACTGCTGCTGCTGCCGCCAAGTCACCTCAGTCGTGTCTGACTCTTCGCGACCCCGTGGACTGCAGCCTACCAGGCTCCTCTGTCCATGGGATTTTCCAGGCAAGAGTACTGGAGTGGGTTGCCATCGCCTCCTCTGATATTTCTTAGTATGATGTATAATATCATATCTGATACCTATCTGCTTCTCTCTTATTCATTCCTTTACTAGACCTTCATAGGAGTTGTGTTCCAGCCAAATACTGAACTACTTGTACATCTCAAATGGATCTCCTTTTGCCCTCCTTGTGGTTTTGTATAGGCTGTGCTTTCTACCTGAGGATGTTAAAAACTTTGTTTTGGAAAATTTTTATTTTATAGAAAATGTGGGAAGATAGTACAGAGAGTACTCATGTACCTTTACCCCATTCATTTCCCCTGATGTTATTATCTCACATACTGTGGTACATGTGTCAAAAGTAAGAAACCAACATTTGTACCTGGAATGTTTGTTTTCTTTTACATCACTTGCTAATAAACACTCCTGCATCTTCTGTTCTCTGCTTTGTATTTCAGGAGCCCCTTGTAGATTTTTATAGCACTTAGGGGAGGATGAATATGAATGACAGTCTTGGTGCTGCTTCATTCGACAAATCTGTTTGGAAAAACTGTCATTCCATGTTTCAAACTTTATAACAGCTACATGCCCACAATAGCAGCTAACAAATGTTTCAGTGGATTTGGAAGATAGAACATTTAAAACACTCGTTGTCTAATGATCAGTTTTTCCCGATTGTTCAAATAGATTTTTTTTTTTTAAATCAGCACCATGTGTGGTAGCTTATGTTCAGTGGTCATTGTTGTATGTGTGGGTGAAGCGTTGACTATATGAACAGTAAAATGACTCAACACCGTGAAACACTTGTGTAAAGAGGAGTGAATGCAATAAGACCATTTGAGGCAACAGATTTGTCTCTCAGCTTGTTCTCTGTGATAAACACTACTGAGTGGAATATTGATTAGTGACTTTCAAAATTTTTCTGTTAGGGTAAATGAATTTGTATTTTAGTGAAAGGTGTGTGATTCTATTGTATTTGTCTTTATTAAAAGTGCTCTTTTCTCTCATTCTAAATTCTCATTTACTTTGTTTTCTTTTTAACATTTGTTTTTGATTCTTTATTTTTTGGTTTTGATTCTTGATTGATGAATAATCAAAACCAAAGATAAAACAATTTTCTATTAGAATTCTCATTATTGATTTTATTTCCTGAGCATTGAATCGTTGCTGATTGAAATAAACTTGAGATATTTACTCTCTTAGTTCAGGTAGTACCAGGGCTTATTTTTTGCAGTTTTGAAGGAACCTAGGACAGAATGAATCTGTCAACCTATTTGAATCCTTGTAATTAAGGATAATCCTGGGTGGATTCATATGACAAAATCCTTTGAAATTTAAACCTGGGGACTTGAATCTGAACAGTTACTGTCATTGCTGCCTTAATTGTAGTCAAGTAGCAATTCTGAAATTTGGAATGTGGAATTGTCCATAAATTTGTTTGAATAACCAGTACTCAACCAAGAATCTAAGGGTAAAGCTGTTTTATTTATTGCATTCCTTGAAGTATCTGTCAAATGGGACACAAAATATGTAACTGACACAAAGTATGTTTTTTTGGGACTTCACTGTTGGTCTAGTTGCTGAGACTCTGAGCTCCTAATGCAGGGGACCTGGGTTCAGTCCCTGGTCAGGGAACTAGATCCCATATGCAGCAACTAAGACTCAGTACAGCCAAGTAAATAATAAAGTATGTTTTTAGAATAGGTGTTAGGAAATAGAGGCGTGATATCTTTTAAAATGGAAAAGCAAGAAAAATAAGTACTGCATGTCTTAGTCTATGGCAGTACTGTACAGTTTAATAGAAATAACGTGTGAACTGAATGTTATTTAATATTTAAAATTTTTCAATGCTGTGTTAAAATAGTTAAAACAAGTGAAAATGAAAATAATTTAAATAACATCTTTGACTTAACCTATTTGATCATTTCAGCCTCTTGTCAATATACATAGTTATTAAGATGTTTTGCATTTTCTGGTACTAAATCTTCCAAATTTGGTGTGCAGTTTATACTTAAAACACTTTTTAAAATTTTTGAACTAGCTGCATTTTAAGGACTCTGTAGCTCTATGTGTCTAATGACTGGCATGTATTGAACAGTGTGAAATTAACTCTTCAGGGTGATTCTCAGCACTCTTAATTCAGCACTCTTAATTCAGGCTCTGAACACTTGCATCTATATTTATTTTATTTTTTAACCGTTTTTTAATTGAAGTATTGTTAATTTGCACTGTTAGGTATAGGTATACAGCAGACATTCAGTTATACATACATACATATATATATTCTTTTTCAGATTCTTTTCCATTAAAGGTTATCACAAGACATTGAATCTAAACAGTAGGTCTTTGTTGTTAATCTGTTTTATACATAGTAGTGTGTGTATGTTAATCCCAGTCTTCTACTAATTTACCCCCTCCCTATCACCATCTATATTTAAATTTCACAGAATTTGCAATTGGAGAAGTAGATTCACACACTCAGGTTTTCCAACCATATTTAAATTTTTTTTTTGGTATTTAGAAGGAATTATCAGATTTTAAATTAAAATGGTTATTAAGAAAATACAAGTGAAAACCATAGTGAGATACCACTTTATACTCACTAGGATGGTTTTAATAAAATAAACGAAAAATGACAAGTCTGGGCAAGGATGTGGAGCTGTCCTTATAAACCTTGTATTTGTTTGTAGGTTGTGAATACACTAAATACCACTGAATTATATACTTTAAAATGATATGTTATATGAAATTCACCTCAAAAAATTAATAAAATTAAATGAAAACAAAGATTCAGTTTCTTCTGGTAGCGTTATTTATAGTGTAAGTAGCAGCGTCTGACTGGTGGCTCCTGTTGTAGCTAGTGGTGTTTTCTGGCAGTGTGGTAATCTGCAGAAGATGGAAACTTTAAAAAGCATTATTCTTTTTTGGTGCTTAGAATATGTGTAGTAGGATTTTAGGTTGTAAGAATTTAGCAACAGTCAGATGCCCAGCTTCTTTCTCAAGGTTAGAATCTGTAGCTGAGCCTTCTGTGATGTAGGCAATCCGAGGACCACATTATTGATAAGAGTTGTAAGAATTAAATGAATTGTGAAGCCCTGAATATGGCTGATTGTTTTCTTTTCAAGGTTCCATAACTCTTTGTCCCTTACCCTTGATGATTGTCCTTTGAAGTTGTCGCTTTATCTATTTATGTCTTGCTGATCACATATAAGCACTTTCAGTGCGAAAAGTATATCTCTCATCCATCCTTACACTTCTAGCATCTAATGTTAATAGTACTGAATATGGAATAGATAAGTATTTGAACTAAAATCTTGAGTCATCTTCTCTCTTTTAACCTAGTGTGCACTTTAGAATGGTCAAAGGTTTCTGTTAGCAATACTGAGTACCGTTTGAGCTCTTAACATGTCTCATATAGTGAAATGAGTAGAATAATTCTTAATGGTGGCACTATGCAAGGATTTTGCTGTGAAGTGTTTCAGCCAGCACTGATTTTTATCAGAATCTGTAAGCCAGTGTATTTAGAAATAGCTATGATTTGCAGGATGCTTCTGGCAATGTATATATTCATAAAAGTATATTCTTGTCTTCAAAATGCGTGGAAAAGATGGGTTGGGATAGATGATCTAATCATGATCTGAAAGTGTGAGGGTGTTCCTCACAGGAGGGTGAACTCTTTTCACATGGTCAGATTTAAAGAGATTTTGTGAATAAAGTTAGGATCTTTACTAATAGAGGGCTGTTGGTCTGGAAGATCCCCTGGAGGAGGAAATGGCTACCTACTCCAGTATTCTTGCCTGGAAAACCCCATGGACCGAGAAGCCTGGAGGGCTACAGTCCGTGGGGTCACAAAGACTCAGTCGCTTCTGCGTGCGCACGCGCACACACACACACACTCTGTCTCTAGAGGGCTGTATTGTGCTTTTAGAAGTTTGAAGTTTGAAATGGTAGCGGTATCTCATCTGAAAGAAGACACACAGACGCACACTAGAGGGCAGTATTGTGGGAACGGTGCAGTCTTGTGGTATTAATCTAAAAAAATGGAAGTGGAACCACCTGGGAATAATGTGTTGGATACATTTAGTGGCATACATGGCAGATTTGCCTTCTGCTTGTTTGGTTGTCAAGTCAGAAACTAAACAACTGAAATAAATCCCTGAGGGAAACCCCCCAGCAGTCCAGTGTGAAATTTGCTGTTTTGAGGATCATTTTTGGAAAATGTTTTAATTAGTAACATTCATTTCTTAGACGACCTGAAAATATTATTTTTTAAGATCTAACTAGAAGTCTTAGTAAAATTGTAATTTTAGTGATTTCCAAACATTCTGCATCCATTGTTGGAATAGCAGTTGCCAGGAGACTTGGGTAGTTACGTGGACCTTGTTTTCTCAGTTTTGCAAGAAGACTGTGGTGGTGGTGATTTAGTTGCTAAGTCACGTTTGACTCTTTTGCGACCCCATAGACTGTAGCCCAGCAGGTTTCTCTGTCCATGGGTCATAGATCCTTTCTGGAATTAGTTCTGTAGTGTCACTGATTTACTTCTGAAAATACAACGTATCCACTCATTTCTGTTTTGCTCGCATCACATACAGCGCCCCTGACATCGTTGTTTCTTTCTTTAGTGTGTCGTCGGCGGCTGCAATGCCAGCTTCGCGTCTCAGGGAGGGCTAGCTCGCCATGTGCCCACACACTTCAGTCAGCAGAACTCCTCGAAAGTCTCTAGCCAGCCAAAGGCCAAAGAAGAATCTCCTTCTAAAGCTGGAATGAACAAAAGGAGGAAATTAAAGAACAAAAGACGACGCTCGTTACGTAAGTATTTAATACAGACTGAAAGACAGTGTATCGGGTGGTTTAGTTTTATCTTAGGCGCTAATGCAAGCTCAGGTTCTGCCATTCTTCAACTCTGCTTATCTATTTTTGTTAATAGTGATGAACAGATAGGATCTTGGTCTGTTCCTGGGAGAATTCAGATGTATGTTTTACCTCTAGTAGCTAAGGGAGCAGAAGTACATGTGGACTTATAGTACAAACTTTATAGAATTAGATTTTGAGGGCTATTGTAATTCTGAATTAAGACAATTTAAATTATGACACTGTTGGTGTTAATGACAATATTTTAGAAAATTTGAACATGTTAAAGATTTAAAAATCAGGTAAAAATTAAGTAACCTATCTAGTTCCAAAGTGGTGTGTGTGAATAAGGAAACTCAGTGTAGTCTGTGTCTCGGTGCTTAACAGTCTGCTGTGATGCGTATGTATAGTGTTTATGTGCTTAATTACAAGATTAGGAGATGTAGCCTCCATATTTAGGACAGGACATAATTAGATGTTTGTATACTTTTGAACCACAGGAAAATAGTCTTTATTTTTGTAGTCTTCAAACAAAAAGTTTTTGATTATATAACTTATTAAGAAAAATGGCATTCAGTCTTAACTTGGTGTACTTACAGTGTATGGAGATAACACTGCTAGTGTACACTGACAAGAAGGAATACTGAAAAACAGAAATGGGGGAAAAAAAGAAGTTGTATTATTTTCTTCCTCATGCTAGTGGATCATGATACAGACCTGCCTTGGAGATTATTCTTCTAGTTTAATATTCTTTATTCTTTGGTAGTGGGCACAAAATGGTTAAGGTCTGATGCATAGAATATGAAATTTGAGGGCTCTTTTTATTATTCCAAATTTAATTCAGGTGATGACCTCTGTGTTTGTTGAATCTTGAGTGAGGAGTGATAGATTTGAGTGATTTAGAGGGGGTGAGTCATTGTTAATATGCTTTCTCTTGAGAAGGATGAGCTTATTTGGAAAGAGGGAGAAAGTACACATTTTTTCCCCCAGTAGCAGTAGAGTAAGTAGGGAAGGGATTTGTTTCTTAGCATTCGACTAAATCATGACTTTTTTCCTCTCATAAATAAATGTGAGTTTTAAAAAACTGATTTCCCATTGTCATTGCATTGTTAATCTTGTGAGTTCTGTTAGTTTATTACTAGCTAGTTTTCTGTTTATCTCCTTTTGAGCAAAACTCCGATGAGAGCGAAAACAGCTATTCAGGTTGCTTTATTGAGTATACCAACTGGTACATGTGTGTAGGTATACTGAGAGCTCCATGAGTAGTAGAGACAATTTCAGTCTACCCATGTGTTAAGTCAGAACAGTGGTAAATCAGCATATATGTAATTTAGAATATGATGTACCAGGAAATTAGGCTGTTTCTTTTATTGTTGGTAAAATTTAATTTTTAATTAAGATGATATTGAGATATTTTACATGTATTAGAAAGCTCCACAATTGTAAAAGAATAAATGCATTTTCCTTACTTTGAACAGTGTTATTAGGAGTAGAAACAACACAATTTATAGTTATTAATGGGATGAAAATAGAAGTTTAAAAAATAATCTTATCAAATCTTTAGTGTATAACTTTGTTGTGATCATACTAAAAGATTGCTTACTCTAGGTTTGTCCATTTATTTTTTAAAAAATGATATAAGTGTATCAGTAAAAATTGCAGTGTGGCTTAAGGCATTTTTCCTATGCATTTATTTTACTCATCATCTATAGCTGTTGCATTTCCATATCTCAAATTAGGAAACAGACTAAGAAAGATCAGGCAGTTTGTGCAAAGTCACATAGCTGATAACTGATGGGATTGGGCGTTTGAAAGAATTTTGGAGTACTCATCGGCATTTAAATGTATTTATAATTTTCTTAGATTATCATTACAGGAGTCACTCGTAATCAAGAAAATGTTTGTCAAAAATTCCAAAATTTTTAAATTTTAATATTACTACTTTGTCAAATCTGAAGCAAATTTTGATTACATATTAATGTAAACTCTTCATGAAATGTATTTCATTTGTTTGGCCGAGATGAATGAGATCTTGTTGTAGTGCACAGATGAAGACATTTGTCATATTGTTGGAAATGGAGGACTGGTGCTCAGGAGAGATCCTGGAGTAAAATACAAAACTATATGAAAAAGAGAGTAGCTAAAGTGTACAATCATGAGGTTGAAGGTTAAAATCTCACACACCAGGGAGCAAAATTAAACCACACTCACTGAGTTCTACTTCTTACACCCTTAACCTTGTAAGCTTGGTTCTGTGCTTTGAAAGCAAAGAAAGTCTCAACATTTAAATACTAGATAGATTGTTTCAGTCTTTTCTACCTAGTGCATATTTTTGTGAAAAATGGGTCACTAATTATGGTTGTTCTGAGACAGTTACATTTTTCTAAATGCTCTTCACCGCTTTTGTGTTGCCTTTTAGCACGACCGCATGATTTCTTCGATGCACAGACACTGGATGCGATAAGGCATCGAGCCATATGCTTTAACCTCTCGGCTCACATAGAGAGCTTAGGGAAGGGGCACAGCGTTGTTTTCCACAGTACTGTAAGTATCTGGTGGGTTTTTTTTCTTTTTCAAATATTTCCCACAGTTCCATGTTTAAAGATCACATGAAGTTTTTTAGCCTTTAATTTGAGCTGTTTAGGAAATTGGGGTGACATTTGGGCTACTAAGCATTTGAAGATCCGTTTCTGACTTTAAGTAAACTAGGTGTGTTTTCCGACCTCTGGTTTCCTTATATGTAAAGTTAGAACATTAGACTTCCTTTAATGTACATCCCTGTCTTTGTTTCTGTGTGCTGTCTGTGTCCCCTAAAATGCACATCTAAAGTTTGTGTTAAACAGAAAATAGAACAGTGGTCATCAAGTGAAAGCTTCATGAAAGAAGGAATTTTTATCTTTTTTTTTTTCTTCTGTGGATGTCTCTGAAGTGTGTAGAATTGTGTGTATATTTGTTGGGTAACTGTGTTGGAAAAAGCAAAATATCAAATTAAAAAAAAAAAAACAACTAGTTTGTCTTTGGTTAACTAGAAGTTAATAGAGAGTTGTTTTCTTCTCATGTACCTTGCCATTTTATTATCCAGTCATCTTTACATTGCTGTAGTTTGGTGTAGGTGAGTTAGTAGAGATAAACCTTAGACCAGACTCAGTGATTTGAATCCCTGGAAAGAGAGTTTCTTTAATTTTGGCAGTTGAAATAGAATTTAGGTTTTATATATTCTAATCAAAATGCATGAGAATTTGAATATAAAAGATCAGTATGGATATTTCTACTGGTTTGAATCTTTTATTTTTCCCAACTCCTCTACTAATGAGGTTTTCTTGTACTTTCACTTTTTCTTTTATGACTACTTTCAGTTCACAGTCCCTGATTTTGATTCTCAAAGTTAAAAAGACAAGAAGGTAGAAGATTAGACACAAGAAAAGGGAATCTTTTCTGAACTTCGAGTACATAATAGGTGTGAGTTGGGTTTAAGGAAAGGTTTGCCATACATATGTTCTTTTAAAGAACGTTGGAAATACATTTATTAAATAAGAAAGGTTCGGAAGGAAAATTAGAGGCTTTGAAGACAAAGTTAAAATGGCTGTGCTGAGAATTCTGTTGGGATTCAGCAAGATTAGGAGCTTGCTCAGCAGTGATGGTTAAAGTCCTCCTTTGGAATTTGATCACATAGGTTTATGATTTGGTAGGTCTATAATTCTTTTTTTTTGTTTAAGTTGAAATTAACATTTATTATCCAAGTTTACATTTATGTATTAACACATAGGAGATAGAAAATATTAATGATTTTACAAGTTGAAATAAACTGAGGATTGGGACTTTGCTGACAATCTTGTGGGTTAAGACTTGGCCTTCCAGTGCAGGGGGTTGTGGGTTTGACCCCTGGTTGGGAAGCTAAGATCCCACATGTCTTAGGGCCAGAGAGCCAGAAGACATAAAATAGAAGCAACATTGTAATCAATTCAATACAGACTTTTAAAAGGTTCACATCAAAAAAAAAGGTAAAAAAAAAGAAGCCTGAGGATTGACTGATCATAAAAAATATTTCATGATGATTTGATAGAGTGGACTTTTAAGGGTTTTGCTGAATAAAAAGCATGTGAGATAGAAAATAAGTTACTTAAATTTTATCCATGTGATCTTTTTCTTTTATTGAAATACAGTTGGTTTACAATATTTTGTTAGTTTCAGGTATACAGCAGGTGATTCAGTTATATTTATGTAGTTTTTCTGGTTATATTCCTTTATAGATTATGATAAGATATTGAATATAAATACCTGTGAAAGTGATAGTCGCTCAGTCATGTCCTGACTCTGGTAATCCCATGGGCTGTAGCCTGTCAGGCTCCTCTATCCATGGAATTCTCCAGGCAAGAATGCTGGAGTGGGGTGCCATTCCCTTTTCCAGGGGATCTTCCTGACCCAGGGATCGAACCCCAGTTTCCTGCATTGCAGGCAGATTATTTACCATACTATACAATAAATTCTAGTTTGTAATCTATTTTATGTATAGTAGCTTGTATCTGTTAATCCCATACTTCTAATTTGTTCCCTTTTTCCACCTAAGTTTTTTATTAAATTTTTTTTTTAACAGTTGGTAAGATGTGGTCCCAGACTGAAAAGGAGTGTGGCATTAGGGCTGTTGTGTTCATTTACTTAAATATTAAGCAGCTACACGTGCCAGGTACTAATGATACAGAAGTGAACAAAATGGATGAAAAACAGGAAACCATGCCTACAGTCTAATGGGGGATACATGATAAACAGGGTAAAATAAAATTAAAAACTTGAAAGTGAGGATATGAACTATTCAGTTGTTGGGGGAGGGGCATCATAGCCAGAGGCAAGTGTAGAATCCTGAAGTAGGAATATGCCACGTATGTTTGAAACCAGTGCGAAGGCTAGTGTAGGGAGCAAATGATTGAGGCAGAGAGAGTAGACGTGTCAGAGCGGTAATGGGGAGAATCTGGTTGGACTGACACCTTGGCTTTTTATTCCGTGTGTGTTGGGAAGCTGTTGGAGGAGTTTGAGCAGCCATGCTCTGATGTGAGTTTTTAAATAAAAGTTCTATTGAGATGTAGTAAATATAAACTCACCCGTTTTAAGTATACAAGGGAATTCCTTGTGGGCCCGTGGTTAGGACTCTGTGCTTTCACTGCTGGGACCTGAGTTCAGTTCCTGGTCTGGGAATTAAGATCCTGCAAGCTCTGTGGCCGGGGAAAAAAAAAGTATACAGTTCTCTGAATTTTGACAGTTTTACTTACCAGTGAAACCACCACCACCACCATCATAGTTAAAAAATACATTGGAACATTCCCATTACTGAAAACTTGCCTGGCGTAGCTTTGCATCTTCATCTTTGTCTCTGCCCTCTGCCTTAGAGAACTCACCAGTCTCTTGCCTCATGTAGGTTTTAATGTGCTCACTTCAGTTCCTGTATTGAGAACATATTGTAGGTCAATGTTGGGGAGAGAAGGGGTCAGTCTTTTCAGTATCTTAAAGTGAGAAAAGACCAGAGTGGTTGTAGTGGAGATACTAAAAATTGTTAGGCTCTGGATGTCATTTGAAAGTAGTATTGATGAGAATTACGGATGGATCAGGTATGGTAACAAGAGGATAAGATGACTCCAATGTTTTTTGCCTGGGCAGCTAGCCTAAAGGATGGAGTTGCCTTTTAATAGAGTCTGTGAGGTGAGCAGATTGAGGGAGTCGTTGTTTAGTTGCTAAATCATGTCTGACTCTTTTGCAACCCTGTCGACTCTAGCCTGCCAGGCTCCTCTGGCCATGGGATTTTTCAGGCAAGAATACTCAAGTGGGTTGCCATTCCCTTCTCCAGGGGATCCACCTGACCCAGGGATCGAACCTGTGTCTCTGCTTGGCTGCTGGATTCTTTACCACTGAGCCACGAGGGAAGCCCAGGTTGAAGGAGAGGGGAATATCAAGGGCTGTAATTTCAACACATTCTGTGGAGCATCCAATGGTTTTGTCATGTAGGCAGATGGATATGAATCTGAGCTTAGAGGAGAGAAGCGGCTACAGATAAGAATGGAAGTTTCTCGTGTATTAGGGTGTTTAAAGATACCAGACTGGATAAGATCACCTAGGACGTATTAAATAGAAAAGAGAAGAAATTGAAGGAACGAGGTTTGGGACCTATGAACATTTAATAATTTAAAAGGGTAATAAATCTGATGAAATAATGGTCTGGTATTTAACAGGGACCTCTACTTGTTAGAGAATAGAGGCGATGATGATAGATAAGATTCTCTTAAAAAGTGTAGCATCAGTTTTCACATGATTTCTTTAGAGCCGATCCTTGAGATGAAATCCTTAAGCTGACCACAGGAGAAGTAAAAAGGATCAAAAAATGGAGGAACTAAAAATGTGATATTAGTTTTCTGGAAGAGAACTTTAAATTTACTCAGTTAACATAGTCTATGAAAATGAAAAGTTTTCCATTTGTAGAAAACATCTTTGAGGGTTTAAGAACATGATTGATAGCTGTTGTCAATAAATTTTTAAAAACCTAGGAATAAGAGTGGTTTTGCACCCCAGGCGACATTGTGGTGGCAGAGGTACCTTGACTGAGGAGAAGTAACAAAGGTGTAATATAATCTGAAGAATGCTTTTTCCTGGGGGAATTGGAAGGAAGAAACATCCATAATGGGTAATGGTCTTCCTTGGACACAATGGAAAGGAAAGGAGCTAGGTGAGGAAATCTTGAAAGTTCTGTAACTGACTGAGGAAGGGGGATGAAGGCGGTTTGTATTAAACAGAATCATTTCTGTTCGTAGTCAGTGCTCAGTACTAACTGTAAACAGGAGTTTTCTAGTATCAAGTTAGCTTTTATGGTTAATTTGATAGGCATATTGATAGTGAAACATTTTACATAAGAATATTTATGTCGTGTACTATGCTGTTCAGTTTGCCTAATTTGTCTTCCTTAATTGAAACATTCTCTTTGCGCCTTCTCCAGAAGAGGTCAGCAGAATCCCTGTTACCAGTCAGTTGATTTGCTATACTTGGTTGCATTGCATCATTTTTATATCTTATTTCTTTGTATGTAGAGATGGTCTGTTTTAGCGTCTTCAGATCTGTCTTTGGGCTTTTTAATTAACCCTATTACTGAGTCTAGATTTATAGTACTTAACTATAGGGTTTTAAATAATGAGGCTAGAAAGTGTTTTGTATTTGTGTGAAGTACTGCTTTTACTTTTAATATGTTTTGAGGATGACACATAACATTACTTTGTGAGGCTATTTGAAACTTAAAAACTTGGTAAAAAATATTGACATGTAGATTATTAAAACACTAGTGTTCTAATTTCATTAATATGGAAGTTCTCAGAGTTATAAAATGCCATTTTGATTGATTTTTAAGAATCATTAGTTTTTAGCATCTGGTAATGAAAGACAAGCATTTTGTTTTTCCTATACTTACATAGGTCCTTATAGCTCTCGTTGGTCCACACTTTAACTTAGATTCCTTAATCAAATCACACCTTAAAATCAAACCAAATTCCTTAAAATCAAACCTTAACACTGATTGGTTAATGTTTCATTTAAAATAACACAAATCAACCCACAAACAAAAAGCCTCCACACAAATGACAAAATACCTTAATCATAAAAAGGAGACTTGTCCCTTCCAGTGTTCTTTTTTCCTTCACTGTTCATTTGTTCTTCAAACACATTTCACGGCTCCCCCCCCCCCCCGAAAAAAACAAACAAACAAACAAACCCATTTAGCCAATGTGGATTCTTGGTTGGTATTCTGGCTCAGCTAAAGAGTTAGTAGATAATAAAATAAACAGCATTTTAAGAGATAATACGGTTTTTGTCTTTGGCTGTATAAAGCTACTTCACTTTTTCTCTTTTGTGAAAATAAATGATCAAGGGTGGGTGGAATTGCTACGAACTAGGGCAGGACAAGATGTGGTGGTAACACCTGGTCCCAAACACAGACACTTCAGTTCTTGATTAGTACCGAAAGCTTTTTTAAAGCATATTAGAATGATGTTTTATAAATAGTTATTGTAATTTATTTTATATCATTGCTAGGTAATAGCTAAGAGAAAAGAGGATTCTGGAAAGATAAAACTTTTGCTTCATTGGATGCCTGAAGACATGTAAGTATTTGGAATACTGCATATATAACTAAATAGACTGATGTCTTACTCTTATTAAAATCTTTTACTCAAAATTACTTAAGCTATTGGGTTCAAATATAGAAGACTTACAGGAATGAAATCACAGAATATTTTGAGGTTGTCAGCATGAAAAAGATAATCTGTAAAGGCTCTTAAGAGTACGTGGCTCACGGTATAAGCTTTAAAATTAACTTTTAAAATAGTTTTTTTAATGCAAGTTGTCATAGCAATTTTTAATCATTTTAGGATGTGATTACTTTCAGAACTTTTAATAACCTTCAAGTAGGATAGGGCGTAAGCAACCTTAGTTAAGCCTTTGAGTCAATTATTTTAACAATTTCTGAACATTTTTCAGGGCACTATTAATGACATTTTATTGAAAAAAGCAATTGGTGAGTGTTCTAGGAGTGTTACATTTTTCTTTGAGTTTTAGTACCCTTTTATTAGAGTGGTTCTGACCCATGTGCTCCTTAATTTGGATAGTTCATGTTCAATATTCCTTTTATTCTTAAAAATTTTTTTAGTTGTTGCAGAAGGTAAATGAAGGTATATCATAGAAAAGCACCAATAATAGAATAAATTGAAATGAATGGAATCTCATTAAAAATTAATAAGATATAGTGCATACTTATTCTTGTTATTATATATTTTTCTACAATATCATTCCCCAAACTCCAGTCCAAAGAGATGTTAATGAACATAATATGAATTAAGAGCTTTAAAAATAAATTTGGGATGTGGTGAGGGGTGGGGGGAGGTTTAAGAGGAAGGGGACACATGTACATGCTGATTCAAGTTGTTGTATGGCCGAAACTGGCACAACATTGTAAAGCAGTTGTCCTTAAAATAAAAATAAATTTAAAAAATAGATTTGGGAGTTTACAGTGCACATTAGCATATTGAAGTAAAGAAATCTATTTAACTTTTTAAAAATCCTGTGATTATCAAATGTCTGTGAGTGTAGGACATACTTTCCACTTCCTTTTACCCCTCCCTTCCAGGTTAAAAAAAAAATGCTACTCTAAAATATTTTGAAACGTCCGTGTAAAATTTATTTAATGAACTTTTTACTGAACATTTAAAAGTTACCCATTTTTCTCCACTGTTAAAAAAATGTTAAACTTTGTTTTTATTTACAAGCTATGGAAAATGTTATGGAGAGAGTCATTGCCTTCCTGAAAGCTTGTGTCAGCTTCTAGCCTCATCTATGACATTAGAGAGCTTATTTCTGACTTACTATCAACACTGGCTATTGGAGTTCTTACATTTTGCATTTCTTTGATTATGAGCAACTGCATCTTTGGTGAATTAATAATGGTTTATGTCCTTTGTCTCCCCTATTCTTTTTCCCCTAATGAGAGTTCACTTTTTTCATACTGATTTGTAAGAGCTCTTTTTATAGTAAGGTTATAACAGTTCCTTAAAAAAAATTATATTCGGATGTCTGTATTCTTAATATTTTAGAAATCGATCAGTCCAAATATCAAAATGCTTTTATTCCGAAATTCATTTTTTTCAAAGTGGAAATTAACCTGATGGGGTTTTTACTTCTTATTTCTTTATAAAGAAACTAGATTTCAGCTTTTTATCACATCATGCTCTAATTTCACTTAGCAAGCTAAGAGACAGGCAGTGTGTTAATATATGTTTCCAAGTTGTGGGATGACTTTGCCATCAAAAATCATTTCCAGATTTATGTCTAAAATTTCACCATACCATTTTCTGACTGGGTCTCTACATCCCATTACTTAGATTACTGCGTTTCCTTGGTGTCTGATAAGCTTGTTAACCTAAGTGACCCAGTCAGACAAGTCAGAAAAAGCTGGGTAATGTGAGTAATGTGGAGGTATGTGAAGGATAAGTTTAAACTTAATGTTACTTTATATATGACTTAGTTTTTTTAATTCACAGTCTGCCTGATGTGTGGGTGAATGAAAGTGAACGACATCAATTAAAAACTAAAGTAGTTCATTTATCAAAGCTACCCAAAGATACTGCCTTGCTTTTGGACCCAAACATATACAGGTAATTTAATTCTTGCTTTGATGTTTCACTTTGAATTATAATCGTAAACCTTCTTAAATTTTGGATATAAGGTCGGGACTTATTTTAAGTACTGTGTTTCAGCATCAAGCATATCTTGCTTTCTGGGACTTTGTATATAGAAATTACATCACAGTGATACATAAATTGTAGTCTCTAGAAGGGCAATATTTTGGTCAAGTTTATATGCCCCATTAATTCCAGATTTATCTTGAATAACTTAGACTGCGATATAGAGTGTTTTGAAAATTAGTGCCTTTTAAGTATGTAATTCTTTTTTAATATCAGACAGGTAGACCTGGACATATATCATGTGTTCACTAAATACCATTAATGGTTGAAGTTCTTAAACTTAGACTCTTCTTAGACTTTTCAAAAGAGCAGTTCAAATATTACTGTGCTTGTTTTTAAGAGGTAGCTTGGAGTGTTCACATTTCCAAGTTTTTTTATCTTACCTTTGTTTTTGTGTGTCGTGCATATGGAATGTGTTTAGTGGGGGAAGGAGAAGAGACCACCGCCATTTCTGGTTGTTTGCTGAGTCACTGTGCTAGGTGCTTTACATAACACTTCCTCCTGACAGCAGGCCTGTGAAGTAGGTGTTCCTATGTCTTGTTTTACAGATAGAAATCTGAGGCAAGAGGTACGCAGCTTGCCCAAAATGACACAACTAGGATGTGACTGAGCTTCATTCTGCCTGTGTGCAAATGACATATACCATGGTGATTTAAAAAAGTGGTTGAAAATGCTTAAAAGACACTCTTAATGAGTGAACTTTCTGTATTTTAAAAAGGAATTCTGGTTTAATATATACTTTATATAGTAGTAGTTTGGATAAGAATAAGGTGACATAATGATTGATAATCCCAAATGTGAATTTCAGCTGTTCTAAAGGTACTATGTCTTGTGCCAAAATTTGAAACAAAGATTTTGATTTGAAGGTTTTGTTCATTCTACGACTCAACTTTTTGGAATGTGAGACATCTTTTGAGAGTGAGATTTTCGCATAATGGGCCTTGCTTCAAGGAGACATTGAGATGCTTCCAGATTTTTAAAGCATCTTTTGGTGAAGGTGCTAAGTGTGATGAAACTTGTGTGTTTTTTTTGTGGAATGAGCTAGGTTATCAAGAAACTAGCTAGCAGAGAGAACAGTGAGATAACCTTAAATGATTTACCTTTCTCTTTTTAAAGAAAAATAATTGGATATTCTTTATTTACTGGCACCTAACTTAGGGCTTATTTCTGCTTATTCTTTGAAAGGAGTGATTAAAACTAGTATTCTAAAATAATGATATTTTGGGAGAACCAAGAATGGTCCTAAACATGCCTTGAGCAGTGAATTGATAAAGGGGCATGAATTTTAAATAAAAGGTTGAGACTAACTTTCGTGTTTCTGCCCTGCATTCTACTTCCCACTCTCTATGAGAGTGTTCCTTTTTCACAGAATCAGCTTATTTTTGCTGTTCTTAGGCTATATAGGAAGCAATTTAGATATTTTGGTGAAAGTGACAAAAAAATTGTTCAAGCTCAGAACCGATGTCCAGAAGTGCATAGGACTTGCACCGCCTGTTCTCAGGGTATAATTCTGCAGTTGTTACTAATTTCTGGGGTAATGAAGATATACATTCTTAAGATGTATTTGGTACTTCTGTGGAGTTAATTTTCTTTAGTTGTAAACCATCTTCCACCCATGTTAACATTTAATCTTGAGTCTATAAACTTTCATGCTTCTACGATTCTGGAAATCAGAATCAAATCTACCCTAAAGTGGTGCGGACTTCTAGAACCGCCCCCTACATTTGCCATGCTGTAGCAGCTTAGCAGTGCTTGGACTTGGAGTGGGAAAGCATGTGCAGTTAAGAGGGGAAGAAAGAATTATTCTAATTTGTTTTAGGAGAAAAAGTTTGCAGCTTATGCACATCTCAAAATGAAAGCATGACAAACATTCAAAAAATATATTAGCTTCAAAAATAGCAGTAAAAAGGACATACTTATATGAAATTTAAACACTAAACACTAACTTGTTTCATATAAATTTAAACATGAGATTCTTTTTTAGAAACACATTAATAGGTTGCATGAAAAGAATTTGTTAAAAAGTTGTATATTATGTAACTAAATTTTTATCCATCGTGTGAATGCTTAGGAAATAAATTTTCATGGTGATCAGTGATTGTCACATTTCCTATTTCTTATACATATTTGTATTTTTGAAGCACTTCATATGTGTTTTTCATTCAGTTGAATAAAAAATTATCCCTTTTTCTCTTTTTCTAGAACAATGCCGCAGAAGAGGTTGAAGAGGTAAAAAATAAATAAATACATAAAAAGCAAACAAGCGGGGACACCTGCAGTCTTAGTCACTGACAATGGGTTTTAGTAAAAGTTGCACATTAGAATCAACCCCCTTCCTTTTTTTTCCTTAAATCCAATATTTAGAATATTTATGCTTAGTGTAAACATTCTGTGAATGAAGTAGGCTCTTCTGTGGAATATATTAATATATTACTGTATATCCACATCTTCATGGAGTGGTACTGTGGGAGACTGAGCAAACACTCTTCTGGCAACTTAGCGGATCAGCTTCTTAAAGGCTTTGCATGCTTGCTGCTTTAAGCTGCTTTTTTTTTTTTTAAACCCTTTAGTGATTACAGTAGTTGATATTGGAAAGAAAACCAATTACAACATGTGCCCTTACAAATACCAAAAGCACTGTAAGGATATTTGTCTTGACAGTGTCTATTGATTCGAAGTCTTACTAGGAAATATTAGACAATGAAAATTATCGAGAGATAATTTACCTTTCAATTATGATATATAGATGTGATTGGTTGCCATTTGTGTTCTTTTGCAGAACTCTGATAAGAAAAGTGTTCAATTTGTATTTAAGCAAACAGTGAACGACATTTGCAATCAACTAAAAATTCGTCTATCGAATTAGGGCTGAGAATTTCTGTTAAAGAGTGTTGCAGAATGTCTGGTGGCTCCCCTTTCAGGAGTAGGGTTTTCTCATGGAGTACAGTATGTTAATATTTACCTATATAACTAATCTGTTAACGGTTTTTGAAAAACCTCTATTTCAAATTATTTGAATAATCCTCATATTTTCATTTTAACCTATATAATAAGCCTCTATTTTTTTTTCTTTTTTGAGGAAAGCATTTGGTTTGTGAGCTGTTTTTTTCTTAACATAAGAAAAATCGTATTTTTTTTACAAGTATCTTCAAACTGAATCCTTTATGCACCAAAGTTGGTTTTGAAAAGGAAAATAAAATCACTTTCTTGCTTGGTAAGCAAGAAGCCATATGGATTTTTTTTTTTTTTAAACTTACAGAAATGGAAGTATGTGTAACTTGTTAGTATTGTATCAAACAAATGTTGCATAGAGTTAATAGAACATTGCTTGTAAATAATTCAGATTTGTAATATATTTTTATATTATGAAATGTACTGTAGATGTTTTTCTAGAGGCATGAAAAGTTAAATGTATATATTATGGGTAGAAATAATATTGAAGGATATTGTAATTCACTAGTGCTGCCAGAGGAATTGTTAATAAAGCACCTTCTTTAACAATAAATGTCTTTTGCAGACTTAAGGGACTATGTACTACTGTTAATATCTATAAGAGCAAAACACATTGAACATCCTTCCAGAAAGTCTTTGAGGGAGGACCTATTACCCATAATAGAATTATGGCACTCATTTCTGACAGTGACCGTGAAATCAATTATTTCCTTACTGTTGGAAGGACATATTGTAAAGTATGTGGTTATATGCAGTCAAACTGCAGAAACTACTCCTGATTGAGGAGTTTTCACTTTACTACAGTGATATTAAAAAAACCAGCAGTTTTTACACTAAAATTTTTTAAAGAAAGAATAGACAAAAATATAGAATTAATAAGCCTTTTGGTTCCAAAATGGGAAAGGTTCCATGATACATAAATCATTTCTCATTTACTTTAAAAAAATCTTTAAAAATGATAAAAATTATGGGAGACTTTATTCGTTAACAATGGGGTTAAAGAGCTATATACATGAAGTAAGTCATATAAAAGTAAATGAAGTGCAAATAAAAGCACTGCTTCTGTAAGACATTCTGGAATGGTTGTTTAATAAGGGTATTATTCATACGATCTGTAGCAAATGTGATTTTATTTTTGAAAAGAAAAGCAGTGTGTTTTCTTACTATTTTTTGTTTTCTTTTGCTTAAGCACTTCATCAATTGCTTTATTCTGTATCTACGAAGTAATCTGCAATCTCCTTTGTTCTTTTTAAATTTTGATTTGTTATAAAATTGCCAAATAGTGTTTCAGATATATAGTTTGTACCTGTATTTTTATTTTATTGCCTCATGTTCTTGTAAGTCATTCTTAATTGACCGATGATTGTAGACCTTGCCTGAGTATTTTTTCTAATAAAACAAAGCAAATCACATTTAGTTTCAGAATTGTAACAATTCAATTAAGTTTTAAAACGACATCTGAATTATGCATCTGAATTATGTTTTCTTCAGGGGCACAGCAAATAAATTAGTTTTCCCATTGTGTAGAAGTACTAAGATGGTCAAAACCAAATTTCATGGTTATTGATTACCCTCTTAGTATTCAGTCACTCATGATACTCTGCTGCTTATCTGACTTTGTTCTGATACTATTTACACACACCAAAAAGAATATGAAATGAAAATGAAATAGTTTTATAACTTGTTTGTATACATATATACACACATGCAATCATGATTGGGAAATAAGTGTGGAAATTTTTATTTTATAATGTTTATTTAGTAATAGCTATCCATCTATATTATTATTCCTATCCCTGTATTACCTGCCCTCTGCGTCTCTTCCCCTCACCCCTATATATATATATATATTATATATATATATATATAAAATATGCATTGTCTTTTTAGCAGCAGGCAAAACCGCAGCTCACAGGCATACCCATTCATTTACTTGTGGCTGCTTTCTTCCTGTGTGACAGAGTTAAGTAGTGACACTTTATTACCTGCAGGCACAAAATGTTTACTATCTGACCTTTTAAGGAAAAATTTGTCAATCCCTGGTTATAGTTGATAAATTTTTCTATAAAATAAACCTAGATTGCACAAATTATATTTTAATATAATAGTATTATCTTGGTAATAAAGTAGCACATTAAATTTCAGTGGAGCTTTTTAATATACATGAGAGTATAAATATGGTCAGTCTAGATACATGCAACAAATGGTGGTTTTTGTTTTTGTTTTACTTTTTTAATTTTAACATTGGAGTTCTTAATAGTTACTAACATTTCCCTATTTGTTATTGTATTTTGTTTTACTCAATAGGACTAAATGAGATTTTGTAAATTGGATCATGTTTAAATCATAAGGCTCATCTTCTCTATCTGAAAGACTCTTGAAAGTGGAAAATATTGTAAAATTTAAAGTTGTTTATTTTTTTAATAAACTTTTTCAAATATAAATCTTCCCTAAAGTGGACACACATTACCTCTGAACTTCAGATGAAGGAAAATTAAGGTGGACAGTAGTTGACTCGCAATTCGTATTTTAAGATCTGTTTTATTCTCATTGAAAGCATTGATAATCATATCAGTAAATCTTTGTGAAACTTCCCCTCCCTTTCACACCTTAATAAAATGTTTAAATATGCAAGTACTCTTAAAAGGATAGAATTTGCCACAGTTATTTAATACATCTTTTATTGTTTGCTGTTTGAATTCTTTTAAAAATATCATATGGTTAGCAAAAGTGTTAGATATTTGAATAAGGTATAAAAATGGGTAAATATGGTTGAAATCTTTAAAATAGTTAATGGGGGGTTTCCTATATGATTACAGCTTTTTTTCTTTTCTTTTTAAAGTCTAATACCTTTTCATATGTTCTCTAAAAGACAAAGAGAAATTCTTATTTAGGTAGATTCTCTATGGGAAAAACTGATCCATTTATATGTATAGCAAGGCCAGGGGTTGTATACCTATAAGGAAATGCTTATATATAAAGCCTTTATTAAAAAGTACAATCATATATGTCATTTGAATGTCTTGGGGGTTTTTTGTTTGTTTTTTGAGAGAAATGTTATTTTTTTTGTTTGTTTTAATGAATAGTATTTTTCTACTTTTAAAATGTAAGAAGTGTTCCTTAAAAGGTAAGATTTTAAGAGAAAATGTCTTATATATTTTTCTAAGTCTTAAAAGAATTTGACCTAGTGGAGGACGTTTTGCAATTCAAACACTAGCTTTAATACAAATAAAGTCTGAGGAGTTTTTTTTTTATTTTTAAGGGTTTAGAGTATTTTGTCATTTCTAATGGTTATGAGCTTCAGTAGCCTTAAGAATGTAACAAGTTCTAAATTACTTTAAATTAAAAAATTTTTAAAAATATTTACATAGTCCAGTTCATTCTCTGAATCAGATTTGCATGGTATATACCACATGGTTCTTTATTACTGTAAAAATTAAAAAGGACTTGTAAACAGAGCAGGAATTGCAACCCATATTTTTTTCTAGGTCAGTAGTCTTTGTGCTATACCAAATGGCTTTTCACAAGTGTGGAAGAGAAAATAAATGTGTGTTGTAATATCACTACAAAGTCGTTTTCAGTGTTTTAGCCATAGCTAGTCCCTAAGATAATACATGGTACAAAATTAGTCTCTAAAATATTTATTGAATGAGTGTTATAGGTGAATTACTTGTTATAGAAAGGTATTTTGGAGAGTATGGCTGAAGCACACTGGCTTAAATGATACTCTGTGGTAATATTATTTATATGTGAATCTATAAAGGGAACTACAGTTTGCCTAAACATTCTCAATGAAAAGAATTATTGATGTTATATTTTTACGTACTCAGTTGTAATAGGAGTATTTTTAGTTTGTTTACTTTTGGGAAAAATGTTCTCAATCTTGTTTTTGTAGAGTGCCCCTCCCCTTATTGAAGCACAGTTGATTTATAATGTTTTGTTAGTTTTTGGTGTACTATAAAGTGATTCATATATACACACACATATTCGTAGCAGTCCTTTTTAAAATAATAAGACTTCAGTTATATTTATGGTATGAGTAACATGTTTTGAAGTAATAACACTATTTTAAAGGAGTTACCTAGTATTTGATTAATTTATCTTAATGTTTTTATCTTTACAGCATTGTAAGTTCCTTTTCAGTACTTAAAAGACCCTGCTAGTGGGAGAGCTGCATTTTTTATGTCTTAAAAATTTATTATGAAATTGCTAAGGGTTTTTATGTTCCTGTTAAAGCCATTTCAGGAATTCATTTATATTGGGATGCCTAATAAGACTCATATAAGGTTATTACATGTTTGAGGGATTTTTTTCCTTTTAGAAAAGCAAATTTGTGTAGCTAACTTAACACAAATTTAGTTAGTGTATAGCTAAGAATAGTAGATTGTAAAATGTGAGCATGGTGCACATTTACTCTTGGTTGCTGGGCCCAGTGCAAGTAGTTTTGTGTTAACATCATTGAGCATTGCAGAAGAGTAGGTCAGAAGATTTCCCATGACATTACATTTTGACTTCTGTATACACTGCAGTTTGCTCATCATCAAAAGTTGAGTTTCAGTCTAATTACCAGTTGACCTGCTTTACCTGTTTTGTTCTTCCACACATGTATTTGATTTACTAGTATTTGTTGAATACTTTTGCCTCTGTGTTCATCAGTGACATTGCCTGTAAATTTTTTTTTTTTTTTTTTTGTATTGTCCTTGTGCTAGCCTTGTAAAATGAGTTTAGAAGCATTTTCTCTTTTCAGTTTTTTGGAAGAGTCTGACTCTAGCTTTTCTTTGATTGTTTGGTAGAATTCACGTGTGAAGCCATCTGGTCCTAGACTTTTGTTTTTTGGGAGGTTTTTTATTAGTATTTCAATTTCTCTGCTAGT